TTCGTCATGTAATGCGAATTAAAAAAAAGAATCGATCGAGTCGTGTACACATTAAAATAATTGAAGATCTCCAATAACTGGATCGTAGATAATTCGTGCGCAATTTCATTAGCACAAAGAAACGAGAGTTAAATAAAAATTTACCATTCTCCCGCGCAATAGAATTTGTGGTTAGTTTACAACTTGTAACTTCCAAAATTTTATCACTTTTACAAGAAATCTGTAATTAGTCGCAAATTGACAAAATCGTATATACAATGCTATATTTTAAATTTTAAACAAATCTTTTATACACACGCGATTATTAATTCTCACTAATCACAACGAAAGAAGCAAAACACGAAATTTTTCGCCATTTTGCTCGTAGTTCGAACGCGGGCCGTAATGGAGCGCCCTCCCCCAATTTTTTTCCCGCCACCATACAAACAACGACGTCGTGAACTGATATTTTCGTGGAATGGTCGCGCGTAGCTATTCCACGAAAACGCTCCGATTAATTCGGCATCTCTTGCAATGCACAGAATGCAGTGTCGCACATTTGCAACGCCACGAACAAACAGCTGTTCCAGCTGGTAGCATGGGCGAAACACATCCCGCATTTTACGTCGTTGCCACTGGAGGATCAGGTACTTCTGCTCAGGGCCGGTTGGAACGAGTTGCTGATAGCCTCCTTTTCCCACCGTTCCATCGACGTGAAGGACGGTATCGTGCTGGCAACGGGGATCACCGTGCATCGGAACTCGGCGCAGCAGGCCGGCGTGGGCACGATATTCGACCGTGTCCTCTCGGAGCTTGTCTCGAAAATGCGTGAAATGAAGATGGACAGGACAGAGCTTGGCTGTCTCAGGTCTGTAATAATGTTATCGTGTTAATGCTTTTATGTTGGATTAAAATTATTTGGAAAATTATTCATGGAACGATGACAATCTTTCTTTGATCTTTTGTTGTTCTATATCGAACAAGTTTTCGTTGTCTTCTTTAAATTTACAATTTCTCATCATGAATAATTAATCACGAACAGATCTATAATACTCTTCAATCCTGAGGTTCGAGGACTGAAATCCATCCAGGAAGTGACCCTGCTCCGTGAGAAGATCTATGGCGCCCTGGAGGGTTATTGTCGCGTGGCTTGGCCCGACGATGCAGGAAGATTCGCGAAATTACTTCTACGCCTGCCCGCCATCCGTTCGATCGGATTAAAGTGCCTCGAGTACCTGTTCTTCTTCAAAATGATCGGTGACGTACCGATCGACGATTTTCTCGTGGAGATGTTAGAATCACGATCAGATCCTTAGGAACAGAAGGTGTGCCGCGTCTTGGGGCACACCGATTTATAAAAGATACGACAGAAAAACAAATATAAATATTATATATATATCAAAAAAGCAAAGAACATCATTGAAGAGATATATATATATATGTATGTGTGTAAAAAAAGAAATTCCCGTTGATAACTTCGATATATATCTCTCACAGTGAAAAAGAAAAAAAAAACGAAATAAAAATAGAAATTCTCACATATCGAGTGAGATACATACAATTTACTTACATTTCTCTTTTCCACTGTTTTATTTATATTTCTGTTCGTTAGCGCATTATTATAATCAACGTCCTTTTCTTCGATTCGTATCGAGAGCATGTCGGAAGTCGAACAATGGATGCTATCGCTGAGAACGAATCAACGGGATTTATAACATCTTCGAGAGTCGATCTGACGAATTTTCAAACTCGCTGTTATACCTCGAAATGATCTCTCCTTCTCTTTGCATATTTCAGTCTATGACACATGTTGTTTATGTATGTCATATATTGTACAAGCAAAATTCTCACGTATGCCGATTTCTTATCGGATATTGCCGATTCACATTAGATTTCAATTGCGTATACGTTGAACTATGCACATCCTAAAATCATGTGGAAGTTCCTAAGATACTGATTTCTTATGCCCTCTCTTTTCTTTGTTCACTCTCTATTTTTTTCGACTCGTGTATTAATTTTTCTTTGTTTTACTAGTCTTTCAAAATATATCGAATGTATAGGATGATATCTCTTCGATCTCCTTCATTTTATATGAATTACAATCCTCGGTGTTGGTTCAACCTATATAATAAGCGTGACAAGCTTTTTTTACATTCCAACGCTGCCTCGATTCGGATCGTACACTTGGATGAGCCATAAAGAGCATCTTTAGATATATTATTATTATACATACTTACATAAAACGAAAACGTTTTACACGTGTGTGCATTATACGATAATTTATTGTTTTGTATTTTAGAGTATAGAAAAAAAAAATAATAGTAAAATTTATTAATTTCATTATCAATTAAATTTATATTATAATATTTCTTTTTATATATATATATATATTGTATATATATATAATATATAAATATATTATTATATATATATATACAAATGCATACAAGTGTATATATATATATATAGTATATAAATACATATATACATACTTGTATGCAGCAGCTTATGTAACAAAAAATATTGAAATTGTAACACATAATATTATAAAATGAAATATTAATGAAAAAGATCTGGATATACTCCAGATATCATTTATCATACATAAATATATTCACTGTTAAAAGATAAACTGATATATGAAAGAAAATTTCTTATTGAAAGCAATTTTTACTTTTGGTAAATTGAAAATCTATATACAAATCATGTATTATTATTTTTTTGTTCTTTTTTTTGTGTTTAATAGCAATTTTTTGTTATGTATAATAGTGAATAGTATGTGTAAGTTAATACTATTCTTAATAATTTACTATTTGATGCAAAAATTGAATTTTTCATTGAATTCAATGTATTATATGATGTGAAAACTCTTAAAAAACATTCAAGAGATACAATGCTTGCAATGTAGAGTTTATCCTTTAAACCTAGATATTTAAGAATTAATTGATCAAGAACAGATCTAAGATAGAAATCTTATTATCGTTGTTAGTGATTCTCAGAATTCTCATGATGATTTTAACTGAAGGATATAAGAAAATAATAGAATTTAAAAAAAAATGTATCTATTTTATATTTTACTTTTTTAAATTTTCAAAAATTTATTGAATTGCTATTTTTAAATGATAGCAAAAAATTTGAATTGTGATTATTATATTTTTAATAAAATATTCATTGATTTTAAATTCGTGGCAATAAAGATTCTAAATTTTAATATATTTTAATGTGTATAATATATATTTTATAATCTATTGAAATAATCTTAGTGCATTATTAAAAATATTTATAAATAAAAATATATTTATATCTCTTTTGTAAAATATTTAGATTTATTGTTTTTAGATTGTAATTTGATTTTAAGATTTAAAAAAGATATCTATTTTTCTGATATCCTTCAGTTTTAATTATCTATATAAATTACTATAGTATCCCTAGAAATCATAAAGAATGATCATACTTACTTCGATAATATAAATTATGATAATATTAAAATATTATTAAACATATTTCTATTTTTGCGTGAATGCTTACGATTGTTAGTTGTTGGTTATTGTTATCTATTTGATGAGAGTTTTTAATGTTATGCATTATCATCATGGGAAAAAACACATTATTAAATTCCTGATTTTTTTTTAATATTGCTGGAGTTGCTGTTCATTTTATTCAAACGCCTAATATCTAATAATTTTTTATAATTTTTACGTGACACATTCAAACGCTGGATAAATTATTAATTAACACTTATTTTTGATAATTTAATACTTATTCAATCCAATTTTGATAATTCCGAACGATTTTAGAACGAAATAAATTCAAGTTCTGTTTATATGTTTTTTATAAGCTAATAAGAAACTATCATATCTATCATACAATTTCTGTAATATCAATTTTTTTGATGTTTTTAAATTAGAATGATAATTAGATATTCTGTTTTTTTACATTCATATTAAAAATATATATCTCGACCAAAATTACCTCTAAATGAAACGCGTTTTGCGGTCACCTCATCTAATTCCTCAATACGTGTAATAATAGTAATAATAATAGTAATAATAATAGTAATAATAATGAAAAAAGATAAGCAGTGAAAGACCATAAAGAGTGGTGGGCGTGAATGAAGCTACCTGTGAATGAAGTTTCATATAAATATATAAATGTTAAAATGATGATATCTATACATACATACATATAATAATATATGAATATATATATATATATATATATATATAAACAAAAATTTCACAAATAATTATTAAGAACCTCATTAGCGGTCAGTAAAGTGACAAAGATAATGGCAGAATTTTTAATATCTTATTCTAAAACATATTAAAGGTAATATTAAAGGTAAGAGATTCAAAATGGAATTCTGGAATGTATCGGAATAAATTTATTAAATAATAGCATGTTTTTATGATGAAGTGATATATGGGAATGAAAAAATTATGTATACAATTATATAATTATATCTATGTAAACTTAATGCTTTTGCCATATTTCTTTGAATTATTCTAGAAATTGTATGATGCTCAAATTATATGTAGTAATGTTTTACTTAGTAACAGTGTCCTAAAATGAACGAATGCGGTGCGTTGTAAACCTTTTGTATGATTATGAATTATAACAGATGGAGAACAAAATTTTTTATCATTATTTAATACTTATGAAATTTGTTATTTTTTATGTATTTAATTATTTATGATATTCTTTTATATTCTGTATTTTATACTTTTATATTTTTTCTTATTCACTAAAATGAAAAATAATATTAGTTAGAATTTTAAATTGATATTTAGTCGTAGTTTTTTATGATATTTAAAAAGGTTGAAAAGGTTCTACGCACCCATTCTATATAGACCAGTACAAATAAGTTTAATATAAATAGTAATAATGAATAAAATAATTGTTTTTACCTTACTAGAACATGTAAGGTAAATGCCACTTAAATAGTAGCAGGTGTCCTATTAAATTACTGTACCTTTGATGAATTAAACTAAAAGCCAGAGTACTAAAACAATCTTTCTGTGTGTATAAATGTCATAAAATTTCATGTATCAATGAATGCTATGTATTAATAACAAATTAACTTACTGCCATTACAATTAACTAATTTTTGGAATATTAGCATGGCCCAATATTCCACGTTTTTAACTTTCTTCCTTCAAGTTAAAACAAAAAAAAAAATTCTTATCAAATTGTTGTACCATTTTATTGAGTAGATTTTTATAATTTGATTGTAAATTAATAAATTATGCGTAAGACTTGTAATTTTAAGAACATATTAGTGAACAAAAAATTTATTAATATTCAAAAATGCATTAATTATAAATGTATAGTATAGCTCTCTAATATAATATTCCAATTCAGAAATAATTATTATATTAACAGCTTAAAGATATTTATGAATAACAATTTTTTTATTTATATTAATACAATTTATTAACAAACTCAGTATATTGATTGTTTCATATGGTCAAATACATTTGTTTTAAATTGAAATACTAATTCATGTTAGTGTTTAGTAATAATACTATGGTTGTGCTCGATAATTAATTGTCTATATACATATATATGCATATTTATGAACACGAATATGTACCTACATAAACATGTATTATATGTATGTACATCTTTGAAGTTCAATTTACTATCTTTAAGCTGTAAATATCATTTTTCGAAGCGATAACTAATTCGCACATCTTTTGATTCTTTATTTGTATGTATATGTATACATTTATGGCTGTATACATAAGTACATACATATGAATTATTATTACATTATTAATATTAAAATACGCTTTCGTATGCGTAAAAATATAACATTTTTTCAGATAATGACACATGAAAACATATTTGGAACGTGAAAGATTCCATATTGGATCGGTAACTGTTTTATAATGAACGAGAGTAATATATTCATAAAAGAATATGCGTAATAAATATGATGATGATGATGATGATATAAATATAGAGAACAAAGAGTATAAGAGAGAATGCGACAATGCGAGAGCGAAATTGTTAATGGAAGAAATGTGAAGAAGTCATATATAGAATATAAAGTATGGCTAATAACAATTCTCTAGTAAAAAAATATATAATGTACTGTCTTGCGCCAAGAGATAAATTGTCTATTCTGACTTGTCTAAATATAATATTTTTATGAAGCAAAATGATTGTTTGATTTATTGTGTACTTTTATTATTATAAAATTCAATTAAAACAATTTATCAAAATACACAATTATATCAAAATTATATCACAATAAGAACACGACTCATAAGCATAATTATGAAAACACCTTTTTATTCGTGATGGACATTATACAGAGTATGTTTCAGATGTAATTGTTACCCACAGATATTTTTTGATGTTAACAATAATTAGATGTATATTTTGATATTTTCATCGCTGCAAACTTCTTTCCCCATCTTCCATTTTCGAATTATAAATTAAATTCTCTAATAAGTGACCAATAAAAAAAAGTAAAAAATTAATGTTATAAACACTACAGCGAAATCAGATACAGATAATATAATTGAAGGGATAATGTGCTTTGTAATATCCTCCCTTCAGTTAAGTTATATATTTACAATTATTAGTTCCATTGAGACTGGCATCAATTGTTGTTTAAAAAAAAATAAGTTAACTGCGTTATAGAATAAGATTGGAAGTAAAATCGTGTTTTCCATTAACTAAATTTCACAAGCTTTTCAGCATTGTGTACAGTCTTGATTTGAGTTTATCTGCAAAAATAAATAAATATATTAATAATAATATATTAATTTTTATTCTATCCATTTATAAATATAAATTTATATATATAAATTAATATCTGGCTATAATAGACGCTATGTCGAGAAAACATATCACAGCGGGAATCTGATCACCATTTTTTTTTTACATGTTTGTGCAATGCCCAATACAAACAATTAAAATATAAGGCATGAATTAACATGTATGCATTAATCTATATCTGAATATTATTAACATAGTTACATATACACTACAGGCAATTGATATTAATAAAATAGAAGTAATAAATGTAAAACTTACAATATTTTTTCCACAATTT